GTTCAACAAGCGGAGGTACAGCAGGTTATCACCAGTCTGCAGGCCAGGCAAACGGCACTTGCTGAAAACGCTGATGTGCAGTCCCCTTCGACTGAATCTGGCCGTTGACCATTACAGTGAGCGATAGTGCGGTTTTTCGGGGAGTATTTATTGCGGCGATATTACCTGGTTTGACCTCAGTACACATGACCGCAAGAGATGCATGTCAGCGACCACGATCGAGACCGGTTAGTCCAGTGATCATCATGTATGATGATGAATAACATTTGTTTCAGTTTTACTTTTCTGATTTAGCTGGCAATCTTTCTGACGATTTGATCCCAGAAACTGATTTGAGTATTATTATTTTACTGCTTTGTCTTCTAATTTCATCACGGTTGAAAAATCTGTATTCCGTGTTATTCTCGGTTTCATTGCTGTACAGTGTGTGGCTCAACATAAAAGGAGGATCATGAACTCGACTTAGGCAATACTATGAATTTTTGTGAAAAAGTAATGGTCCATTTATGGTCCTCAATACTGTATTACCAAATTGCTAGTTTCATGCTTTGTTGGGACATGGGGTTTGTTCAGCTGTTAATTCTTCGCACCACAGTGAATAATCTGATCGGTAAACTAAATTCCTGTTGAGAACGGTTAAAAGGATTGATAAGAATTGAGTGACAACCTAGGTCGAATAAAACATAGCGGTAGTTGGAATGCTTGTTAGATTTAATTCTTCACATCACTTGAAAAATGACATTTTCACAGTAGTGTGTCACCAAGCCCAGTAAAACTTAAAATACACCACAGAACGTTAGAATCATCGTTAACCACGTTCGTTTTACAACGAAGTACCAGTCAGCTGTATGAAACTTCAAAGGATCATGAGTTTCTTTTAAATTTTTAGCATGAGCTGAAAAACTTAGGAGTACTGTAACGAAGAATCACTGATTCATTTGCGTAAATGACGGTACACATTGTAGGGTAATATTTTTTGTCAATATGCTTTCGTGTGTACTAAAAAATTGGAAATCCGCACGAAGAGCGATGAAGGTGTCTGCCAGGAGCCTTGATAGCTCCATTATTGTAAAACAGTTGTTTTCGCGCCAATTATTCCGAAAATGTTAATTTCAGAAAAGAAGAGGAAATTAAGAGTAGAAGATTGATCTTGTGCTGTTTTTCTGCGACTAAACTCAAACGCTGAATGAATGAAAATATTGGATAGGTGAAATTCATTCCGTTCGTAACTCAGAGTCGAGAACGGGTTCAAAATGAAAACTTCACAAACAGATCATTTGTTCATGTTAAGAGTTGAACAGCTCGCCAAGGTGGAATTTTAATGGACGAGTTGTGAGCAACTGACGTTGTGAAACTCATAATGGATATTCTGAAACGTGTTGACCAATCCGCATGTGGGTGCCTTGCGAAATTCATGGCAGTCGAAGATAGCCGAAGTAACGAAAGCGTTAAGTTGACTTTAGAAGGTTGTATCTTAAATATAATAAGTGCCTACGCCCCCAGACTGGCCAGAATGAATCCGAAAAGTCCTCACTCTGGGAGAGCCTAGACATTGCACTGCAAAACATACCGTGAAATGAAAAAGTAATAATCGGGGTTGACCTTAATGGGCACGAAAGGGTTACGATAAGATCCCTGGCGAAAATGGACATGGTATGTTAAAAGGAGAAGAAGAGAACATTTTGCAGTTGGCAGTTGCATATGATTCGGCTCTGATGAACACGTTCTTCCAGAATAGAGAAAACCACTTCTTAAGCGACAAGAGCGGACGGAAGAAAAGTCAGATCGACTGCTTTCTACTCTGAAGGGGCGAATTTGCGAACGTCAGAGGTTTTAAGGTTATCCCCGGGGAAACTGTCATTAGCCAAAACCGGCAACTGATCACAGACCTCTCTTTGAAACAGCCCATTCTGACAGTGGGCACGACGACAGCCCCGAAGATACAGTGGTGGAAGCTGAAAGAAACGTTCAAAAGTTGCCAGAAAAATGACGAAGAAATACCGGAATATTAAAACAGACGAAGCATGGAAGTGCATTGTCAGCATAATCATTGGAAATTTCAGAGTCATTGTCGGAGAAACAAAGGGCACACACATCCAGAAAGAAACGTGGTGGTGGAATGTGGACGTTCAGGCGACCCTATGACAAAAGAAAGAGCTGTTCAAGAAATGGCAACTATCAAATAGCGTGGAAAACAGTAAAATATGCCATATCAAAGAGGGATGCCAAGAAAGACATCGCTGCAGCGATCACTACAGCGTGTAAGAGCTTATAAGAAAAACTAGGAACGAAGGGATGGGAGAAAGACATCTATCGCATTGCAAACGCCAGAGAAAGAATAAGAGACGTCCGTAATGTGAAGTACATTAAAGACGAAAGCGGAATGGTGCTGACCGATGAGAAAGATATTCGCAACCGATGGCGAAGGCACTTCCAAACGGTACTAAACTAAGAACATAACCAGAAAGGTCGTGGAAGAGATCTCACAAAACCTAGGTCTAGTCGAAAATATCTCATCTAACGAAGTGGAACAACCCTTGAGCAGAATGAAAAATAAAAATGCCCTTAGCCCGAACGGAGTTCCCATGGAAGCATGGAAAGCATTGGGCAAGAAGACGTAGTTTGGCTCTTCGCGATGTCCAAAAAGTTATGGAATGTTAAAAAATGCCGGAATCATGGCAGTGTGTTTTGATGCCAGTGCACAAAATGAAATGGGACATTCTTGTGTGTGAAAACTACCGGGGAATTAAACTGCTTCGTCACACGATGAAGATATATAGGCGGGGGCTGAACAAGAGACTGGGGAAGGAGTCCGACATCACCGAAAACCAATTTGGCTTTATACCAAGGCGGTCAACCACGGACGCTAGCTTCACTTTAGCATTCGTAACATACTGAAAGGCAGACAGGACATTCACATGGTGTTCCTAGACCCGGAGAAAGACTTTTCCAAATCCCGATGGAAGCAATCTGGCGGAGCATGAGATATATACTTGTGCCAGAAAAAATGTCATGCTTACCAAAGACATACTCGGCAGAATAACAACGATAGTTCGAAGTTAATGCGATGAAACGGAAGAGTTATTTGTGCTGGTACGAGTCCACTAGGCATCCGAACTGAGCCCATTTCTGTTCCCGATTACGAGAGACGCGGTAACTGAGGATCTGCAGGAAGCAGCCCCATAATTCATGCTCTATGCTGATGACACTGTACTGTGCAGAGAAACTGTAGAATTTAAAACCGAGGCATGGAGAACAGCTCTTG